AGATGGTGTAGAGGAAAAGTTGGAAATTGCAGCGAATATCATTTTTGTCACCGAAGGGTCACATTTGGGAATATCCTCTATCATTACACATTTTGGAATGGCCGCCTTGAGGGTGTTTTGAACCTTCTGAAACTTCTAATATGAAATAGTCAGAGGCAGACACATCGTTCAGGGATGATACATATGCGCTGAAGTAACTATGCTGAAATTTTAGTTGCAAACTATATGATAACTTGAAGAAAACCAGACAAACACAAACGCACAATAGCTCATTCACGGAAATTTATTTATTTATTTATTTATTTATTTTATTATTCGTTCGTTCGTTCGTTCGTTCGTTCGTTCGTTCGTTCGTTCGTTCATTATTTATTTATTTATTTATTTCAATCATATAAAGACGGCCGGGTATAGACGGTTTGGGGACAATCCCGCATCATATAGCGCTCTTGGAAATCTTGCTGGAAAGATCATGCTCAGTTGTACCTCAAACTACTCCCCTGAAGCAGTGGGCAGAACATTATGCAGTGTCTGTAAAACTGACCGCGCAACTGACCGCGCATGTTTGAAAGTTATCTTTGACCAGTTGTGTTCTCACAGGATAAACACAGACGTGTATACAGAGAAATCAGGGAACGAGAGAGAGAGAGAGAGAGAGAGAGAGAGAGAGAGAGAGAGAGAGAGAGAGAGAGAGAGAGAGAGAGAGAGAGAGAGAGAGAGAGAGAGAGAGAGAGAGAGAGAGAGAGAGAGAGAGAGAGAGAGAGAGAGAGAGAGAGAGAGAGAGAGAGAGAGAAGGGAAAGAAGGGGAGAGAGAAGAAGGCGAGAGAGAGACAAGCGGCGGAAAGATACAGAAAGGGTTGATGAGCAGACAACTAAGAGAGTGAGCTCTTTACCGTTATCCACTCTCGTCATGTTATTTCCATACAGCTATCACAGTAATCAAATTTCGTCTGTCTAGAATAAAAATAAGTAATGCCATTACTTTGTCCCCCCACGGGAATACAATTTCAGGAAATATCGCGGGACTCTTCACATCCGGCAGATGCTCGAATTTCGATTTCCCCTGAAAGGCGTTAAGAGAAGCACGTTTCGTTTTGAGCTAAGGAAATAGTTATTTTTTATAACCATAAGCGTTTTTATACGATTCCAACATTGGCCTTAAAACGTATATAATGCAATTCGCATGGATACGTTTTATAACTTTTATGAACATTTATAGAATTGTTTTATATATAAATTATATACATTTAATAGACTACCAGTCAATTACGACTAACCATATATTTATAAACTTGTGGTGAGGACTCATATTTGTTTTTCTCTCTGCGGACGTCAACGTCTCGCTTTTTAACTCGTGTGGGCTGTATTCATATTTTTATACAAATAATTGTACTATGCGTATTTGGAAATTAGTTTCATTAATTTGAATCTTAAGTATAACATCAAGCGTCATACTTATGATCTTAAGAAAACGCTTGTAGCAAACTTTCGTCTCTTTAGGAAGATGACTGTTTACGCCATCAAAGCTTCCCCTTGCTTACGAACGATTGCAAAATTACTTTTTCAATTCACATTTTATTCAAATATAATTCAAACATTTTTATGAATAACTGAATTGACGAAATCGTTTCCAGACATACGTGAATAACACAATGTATGTTAATGTTGGATTCAGACTATTTGAACTTGATCTTTCTCATAGTCTCTGAAGCGTATCACATTCCCTTCCGGCCTGCCCTTACTGAGATGATACATCCTTGAAGGAAGCAATTCTAGATTGTCTTCCGCCTAGTCCTTATATTTAATGTATTCCTTTAGCATTACTAAACATTCCAAGGTTTGTCACACAGTCCACGAATCATATCACGTTACCTTCTGTCCAGTCCTCACTTTAATGCTATATCTCTGAATGGAACATCTCGATTTTCACAGTTTGGAATCACTGAGCTTCTGTCTCAATTATCATGGAGTTGTTTGTGTCAAAAAGCAGATAGAAGTCCAGCCTTCAATATGTGAACTGGCTTTCTAAATAAATCCTAATTACACAGCTGTTACTCTGGAACATCCTTCACTGAACCAGTAGTCTATTGTGAGTAAGTGTTGGCGAAATTGGGGGTAGCACTTATTATGGAGAAATTGGGGGTAGCGAATATTATGTGTTGGTGAAACTGGGGGAGCGAATATTACGTGTTGGTGAAACTGGGGGGAGCGAATATTACGTGTTGGTGAAACTAGGGGGAGCGAATATTACGTGTTGGTAAAACTAGGGGAGCGAATATTACGTGTTGGTGAAACTGGGGGTAGCGCCTATTACGTGTTGGTGAAACTGGGGTAGCGAATATAAGTGTGGGGAAACTAGGGGAGCGAATATACGTGTTGGTGAAACTTGGCGAATATTACGTGTTGGTGAAACTGGGGAGCGAATATTACGTGTTGGTGAAACTGGGGGAGCGAATATTACGTGTTGGTGAAACTGGGGAGCGAATATTACGTGTTGGTGAAACTGGGGAGCGAATATTACGTGTTGGTGAAACTGGGGGAGCGAATATTATATTACGTGTGAAACTGGGGGTGAAACTGGGGAGCGAATATTACGTGTTGGTGAAACTGGGGTAGCGCCTATTACGTGTTGGTGAAACTAGCGAATATTACGTGTTGGTGAAACTGGGGGAGCGAATATTACGTGTTGGTGAAACTGGGGAGCGATATACGTGTTTACGAATATTGTTGGTGAAACTGGGGGAGCGAATATTACGTGTTGGTGAAACTGGGGGAGCGAATATTACGTGTTGGTGAAACTGGGGAGCGAATATTACGTGTTGGTGAAACTGGGGAGCGAATATTACGTGTTGGTGAAATATTATATTACGTGTTGGTGAAACTGGGGGAGCGAATATTACGTGTTGGTGAAACTGGGGGAGCGAATATTACGTTGTTGGTGAAACTACGTGTTGGTGGGGGAGCGAATATTAGCGAATATTACGTGTTGGTGAAACTGGGGAGCGAATATTACGTGTTGGTGAAACTGGGGAGCGAATATTACGTGTTGGTGAAACTGGGGAGCGAATATTACGTGTTGGTGAAACTGGGGGAGCGAATATTACGTGTTGGTGAAACTGGGGAGCGAATATTACGTGTTGGTGAAACTGGGGGAGCGAATATTACGTGTTGGTGAAACTGGGGGGAGCGAATATTACGTGTTGGTGAAACTAGGGGAGCGAATATTACGTGTTGGTGAAACTGGGGGGTAGCGCCTATTACGTGTTGGTGAAACTGGGGGGAGCGAATATTACGTTACGTGTTGGTGAAACTGGGGTGAAACTAGGGGGCGAATATTACGTGTTGGTGAAACTGGGGGTAGCGCCTATTTAAGTGTTGGGGAAACTAGGGGAGCGAATATTACGTGTTGGTGAAACTGGGGGCGGGGGGAAGCGAATATTACGTGTTGGTGAAACTGGCCATGGGGGAGCGAATGTTACGTGTTGGTGAAACTGGGGGGAGCGAATATTAAGTGTTGGTGAAACTGTGGGGAGCGAATATTACGTGTTGGTGAGACTGGGGGGAGCGCCTGTTACCTGTTGGTGAAACTGGGGGTAGATTCTGTTACATTGTACATGTCTGTACAACTTGGGGTAGCGCCTATTACGTGTTGGTGAAACTTGGGGTACAGTCTATTACGTGCTGGTGAAACTGGGGGTACAGCCTATTACGTGTTGGTGAAACTGGGGGTACAGCCTATTACGTGCTGGTGAAACTGGGAAAAGCTCTAACTACGTCTTGTTAAAACTGGGGATAGAGGCTATTACGTGTTAGTGACACAGGAAAGAGTTTCATCTTGGTGCCACGTGGGTGGGAGTGTAACATGTAGATGACGTTGGTGTTATCATCTACAGCACCTGTGTGGTGGTGACAGTGTGGATAGCGCCAATAGCGTGTGGGTGGTTCTAAGGGTAGTGCCAGTTGCATTATGGTTAACACCTTGGCATACAGTCTACAGCACGTGGTGATGATAAGGTACAGCCTAAAGGATGTCGCTTTGGGGGCATAAATACGCGAATCTAACTGAACAGGCTGGGCTCTTGTGCACTTGTTACAAATTACCTAACGCACTTGGGGAATATGGGAATTGGCTGGTTTGTTGTTTACAGCCGCACGCAGCAATATTCCATCTATATGGCGGCGGTCTATAAATAATTGAGTCTGGAACAGACAATCTAGTGATCACCACCATGAGCATCAATCTACGCGATTTGGGATGCGATGCCATGTGTCAACCAAGTCAGCGAGCCTGATCACCACCCGATCCTGTTAGTCGCCTCGTACGACAAGCATGGGTTGCTGAAGACCAATTCTAACCCGGATCTTCACGGGTGGAAATATGAGGAATATGGAAGACACCAAATACATCTTCTTTTGTTTTTTGTTTAATTGTCTATCTTGAAGCTTCAGAACGAATTTGACATGAGCCCCACCCCTCTCACCTTCAGCCCAACACTGACACACGCCCCTACCACCCTCACATTTAATACATGCAGTATCACCATACCATTAGTTCTGTACAATTCCCGCCCGCCCTGATTTTCAATCCGACGTAAAGTATTATATTCCTGCACTCAATCCATTAAGTTAAAGTCTATTACCAAATGATTAATGTTTTTAAATTTCATAAAATGCGTCACACAATTAGTAAGAAACATTTTAAAATTGTTTTGGTCCGCCGCAGTCTTGTCAGCTGAGGATAGAGATGGGAAAAAAACAAATATACGGATGACCTCAGGAACGGCGTATTCAATTGCAACATCCTCGGGCGAACAGCCGACGAAACCACTGAATGTAATTTAACGATCTAACAAGTTATTTGCCTTTGCGTTTTCTCGACGATGCTTCTCGTCCAATTATTCATATCCAGAAATGCAGCGTTTTCTTTGTCTGTTGAAACAAATGCACGCTCTTATCGTTTTCTGCTTGCACTCTGTTTCTGTTGTGTTAATTGTTGTGTTCAGTTCACGTCACCTGTGTCAGCCTCAACCGCTCCCACCGCACTCGAACACCCCACCCACGTGACGCGAGAGCGTACGTTCCACTTGACTGTGAGTCGGTAAAGGAATAAATACATGTACGTTGTTTTAATTTAGATGGTCTTAGTGTGAGATGATGTAATGGCGTTATTTTTTTTATATTTTTATATTTTTTGTTAATTTAAAATTAACGGAAAACTGTGAATGTTGTATTCATCGCATTTGATATTACACGTATGTTGGTTTGTATTATTGACATCAATTGGTAATATATTAAGTACGTGTAGGTGTGTGTGTTTCGCAATGTAGTCATAGACAATGTGTCTATGTGGGTTGTAACAGTGCATTGTCCAGTTCAGTCGTGTGACGTGATAACATGTATGTTTGTTAATCTTTAAATTGTTGAATTATGTGTCTGCTTGAAATTGTGTCTTGTTGAGGTGCAAATCATATTTCACTGTGCGCCTTGTCAGAGAACACACGGTTAAATGAGCTCGAGTAATAAGTCTCCAGGTAGTTCTAATTGTGAAATGTATGGAATCCTGGAAGGGACATTGTCGCGTTGTCGCCCTCTCAAATACACGCAAAATGAGGCAAAATTAACCAAAGCGCGACAATGCGACAACGCGACATTTCGGCCATTTGTCGCATTGTCGCGATGTCGCATGTCGCGTTTTGAATAACATTTTTCTATTCCTCCAAAGAGCAACAATGCTACATAGCGACAATTTTCAAGGTCAAAATATGTCGGGTTGTCGCCCTATCTAAGATGTGTAAAAAAGCCTAAAAATTGACTAAAACGCGACACGCGACAATGCAACAACGCGACATTTTGATGAAATGTCAGGTTGTCGCATTGTCGCATTGTCGCGCTTTGGTTAATTTTGCCACATTTTGCTTGTTTTTGAGAGGGCGACAACGCGACAATGTCCCTTCTCGGATTCCATAGAAATGTCTAGTGTACTCTTTATCCCAAAAAAACAAAACAAAAACAAAACAAAACAAAAAAATCTTCCTTAAGTGGCATTTAGAAGCTGGTATGATGAAGTGGAACACTTTTTATGGATAGACAACTTCTTTGTTGCAGTAGTAGTTGCGACGTTTCGGTGTAGATCAAGCCAAAAGCAAAAAGTTATCATTTTGCTTGATAACGGTGTTAGGATCTAAACAAAACAAAACAAAAACAAACCCAAACAACTTGTTTCCTTGTTTATCTAGATCGTTTGTTAAATTGGGTGCATTGTAGAACTTGTTTCCAGTTAAAATGTCAGTCTTATCAAACTGTCTGAGGACAAACCAAGGACTTTTATTTGTGGTATAACAATAATAATACAACTACGACAATATCCTTACGACAATCCAATGTCAATGCTAGACATTCTAATGATCATTACTATCATTACGTTATCATATTGCATCATAGACTATGTTCTCTTATCATACTTCATAAAAGCAATTTCCAGTATCCATCATCTAAGGTTATATAAATACTTTCATTTCTAGGGGATATCATTCTCTCCATAAGTACCAAAGGTCGATTAATATAGGATATTTATATAGCGCACATATCCAGGCAACTTGTGCTTGCTGAGGGCGCTGGTAATTTATAATTTATAATATATAATCAACTAAAAAGGAAAAATATAAAAATAATATTCAAACGATATAATCACTTGCTTATCTGGTTCAGTTTCAATGGTTGACGGACAAAAAAATGATAACATCCTAAAACAAGAAATTTAAAGACGACATATCCTGCTTTGAGATTGGCACGCGCTCACTAAAAGAAAATGTGCATTAATAGATGGAACAGGTGTCCGATATACCGTTTACATGTGGACATTGTTGGACCGCCGGTGTTTCTCTGGAACTCCAGACTAGCAATGCTGTTGAATGATGGCAATTTTTAATGGATTTACAACTTCTTTGCTTCTGCGAAAGGCAACATAGATTCTAATGTCAAGCAAGTGTTGATCACTGGATTGTCTGGTCCAGAGTCGATTATTTACAGACAGTCGCCATATAACTGGAATATTGCCGAGTGCGGCGTTAAACAACAAACACACAAACCATCTGTCGCATCACTCCCATTACACACCTCCACAACCGTCATTCACACCCACTACGATCCACCATCAACCTCGTCACAGTTATGAAGCATTGGTTTAAATAATGGTAAACTTGCATGTAGAACCCTATACAATAGCAATGGGAAACTACAATGCGTTGCACTACATGTTGCATTAATACAAGATCAAATGAGTGAGTTTAGTTTTACGCCGCACTCAGCAATAGTCCAGCTATATGGCGGCGGTCAGTAAATCATCGAGTCTGGACCTGACAATCCAGTGATCAACTGCATGAGCATCGATCTGCACAATTGGGTACCGATGGCAGGTGTCAACCAAGTCAGCGAGCCTGACCACCCGATCCCGTTAGTCGCCTCTTACGACAATATTGCTGAGTGGCATTAACCAAACTTACCAACCAACTAATCCACACTGCCAGGGCTCTGCTTCATTCCGGAAATGAGAGTACGTTATCCCCTGCCCACATCCCCAGCTAAGAAGACAAGGCTGCTGATTAATCCCCTTAAGATCAATTTAGCACCCCATTAATGAGAGACATAAGACCCAGGGGTTAACACGATATCAGGTCATTGTTTTATCACGTAAGAAGATAAAAGTGACATTATCGCATGATAAAATATTCTCAAGCAGATGAAAATCCTCCCGAACTGCTGTATGAGAATGTGAGATGATGTTCTCAACACGTACTTGATAGAGAGGAGCGGTGTTAAGAGTTTGACACAAGTGACAGTGTAAGGAGTTTATCCAACACTCGTGGGTGAACTTTAACCTCATATTGATTACATTATCAGCTCAACGAGAAATGAGCGCGAGTCAAGAAATATGTTCATTGACTTTAGAAAGCACATTGTTACCGAAGACCTTGTTTCAGTTTCGTAAATCGTGCATGATCTTTTCGCTAACTGTTTATGCCATGTAAATTCCGTATTTCCGGGCTAAGTTACCCACGCGACGCTGACATATATCATGCGTTTAGTAGGTAACAATTTGCCGGAACCGCAGACAGTTTACTTCTGGCGTTGAGCGTTTATTCCAAAATACCGGAAAGACGTTCCATGTTGCCCTGCTTAGTAATCTCGAGCGAAATGGAAGGAAATTGGCTGTACCCTACGAGGAATTCTTCTCGACAAAGATATTCTAATAATTTGGTATGATTGCGCAGCGGCGGATACAGCTTTTAAGAAGGGGTGGGGGTGGGGGAGGGAGCACACTATTGAGAAAAGGAGGGTGCACACTTCATTTTCACCCGAGTTTCAATGGTCATTTAACAAACTTTCAGCACAAAGAGGGGATGGGGTGCGCACCTCCTGCGAACCCACCCACCCCACCCATCCCCACCCCACCACCACACACACACACTGGATCCGCCTATAATTGTCAAGATTTGCCGTTTCGCATAATGTGGCCAGACATTAAAGTATCACAGTTCGCTTCCGAATCCCTATTGACCCTGATTCTGGGTCTACTAAAACCGCACTAGACTCACGTATAGTCCCAACAATAGAGTTATTTTTATGATATCATATATTATTATATAATGCCCAGATGTTGTATTGTATAAAGTCTTTAAAATCATTGTGTTTGCTGATAACATATTTGCATATCGAAAAAATATTAAAAATGGGTTGCCTCTGTATATTTCAAAGTGAAAGAATAAGGATGTTTGGTCGACTTTGTAACTTGTCATGACAGTATGCAGGGGCATTTGTAACTGACTTGGGGAACGAATGACAATATATCATTCTGAAATCGAATTGAATGTACAATGTAATTATAAAATTGTGTTGATTGAATTCCTAGTGTGGAATTTCTGGTGTGGAATTCCTAGGTCTAGAATGTATTTGTTGATTAATGGATGCAGTAGAAGAAGGAAGGAGAAGTAAAACAACAACTACGATGATGAAGAAGAGGAGAAGAGAGCGACTATGACGATAGTAGGGGTGGTGATGATGAAGACGACGATGAGGATGTGGATGAGGACGACGGCGATGGTAGTGGCGGCGATGATGATGATGATAAGGAGCAGGAGGACGACGATGAGGATGTGGATGAGGACGACGGCGATGGTAGTGGCAGCGATGATGATGATGATGATGATAAGGAGCAGGAGGACGACGATGAGGATGTGGATGAGGACGACGGCGATGGTAGTGGCAGCGATGATGATGATGATGATGATGATAAGGAGCAGGAGGACGACGACGATGAGGATGTGGATGAGGACGACGGCGATGGTAGTGGCGGCGATGATGATGATGATGATAAGGAGCAGGAGGACGACGATGAGGATGTGGATGAGGACGACGGCGATGGTAGTGGCAGCGATGAGGATGATGATGATGATGATGATGATGATAAGGAGGAGGACGACGACGATGAGGATGTGGATGAGGACGACGGCGATGGTAGTGGATGATGATGATGATGATGATGATGATGATAAGGAGGAGGACGACGACGACGATGGTGATGATGATGATGACATGTCCATCCAGCAAACACTCACTCTCCTCATCACCCAGACGTCACTGAAATACTGTACAAAGTAAACACTTCATGACCTAACGTAACTAGGGGCTAAATTATTACCTCTGAATACAATAGCTCGAGTTCCTACAGCAACTAGTTTAATGCCTGCCTCTCACCACTGACACCAGCTTATCCAAGCTTCCCCAGCATGTCTGCACTGCTATCATAGTGTTCTATCGACTTATTATGTCGTCAGTGTAAGGCGATGCCGCCACAACAACGGGTGAAATCGTCAAAAATACACAGTGTGTAATTCAACAAATAACGAGAAACTGAAACGTAGTGTAACTGTATAATGACGTTAGACACAGCTTGATGTCTCTAAACGTTGATATATGAGAGGCAGACATTAAACTTTCCTGAAAATGTAAAAGAACTGCGATTGTTTTGTAGGAGCGTGTTTGGATAATTGTAAAAAGTATCAAGAATCGTTGTTTTAAACATCAAATTCCGATTGCCAGCCAAGGTAAAAACTAATACGATCCATTATAAGTCTTATTTAACACTGATTTCCCTGGACAGACGGGGCGGTGCGGTAGCCCAGTGGTTAAAGCGTTCGCTCGTCACGTCGAAGACCCGGGTTTGGTGCTATGTGTGAAGACCATTTCTGGCTTCGCACGACCTTCAGCTCTCTCGTGTAATTGCAGTTTTCAGGACCCTGAGATCAAACAATGAAGAATTCAACGATAGCTGCCATGAGGGTAGCCTGTTGTTGACAAGTTTAGCGCCAAGGGTGGCAATCTCGACATGACACCTGTGTAGATCCAGATACAAATTGGTCGTCATCATCCCCTGCTTCATAAGAGTGAGTGAGTGAGTTATTATTTAACGTCACATCGGCAATATCTCAGCCATATCGTGACGATGCTTCATAAGAGGCGGTAAGAGGAGACAACGGGTCGGGCGTTCAGGTTCCCTGACTTGGTTGCTGCATATCAGGGTATTCCAATCTCGTAGATCAGTGCTAATGATGTCAATCACTGCATTGTCTGGCATATACCGCCGTCATACAGTCCGATTATTGCCGACTGCTGCGTTCAACGACAAGCGCACATATGCATTACACTGTACCAGCAGCTGTGTCCCTGGAAAATAAATGTCGATGAGTGAGTGAGTGAGGTCTGAGAGCAGAGAATTAAGGTTTGGAGTGCCACAAGGCTCAGTCCTAGGTCCAATCCTGTTCACTGTATATACCATACCCGATGGTGATATAGCCTGAGCCCACAATCTCATTTATCATCTCTATGCTGATGACACTCAGCTATATCTCGGATTCAATCCACTAACTGCATCTTCTGTACATAATAGCCTGCAGACAAAAACGAACTGCATAACTGAGATCAAATGTTGGATGAATAGTAATTTTCTGAAATTGAACGATGACCAAACTGAGATTCTCATCATCAGCTCCAAACAAACAAAATCAAAGTTAAAGGTCCCTGGAGTTCAAATTGGAGACACGTTCGTTCAACCAGAAAGCCATGCTCGAAATCTAGGTGTCATCTTTGACTCAACATTAAGCATGGATAATCACATCAGTAACATCTGCAAATCTGCATATTACCACATAAGGAACATCAGACAGATTAGCAGGTACATGGACACACCATAAATAAAATGCCTAACCCATGCATTTGTGACATCACGTCTAGACTACTGCAACAGTCAACTCTATGGAATACAGCAGCAGTACATGGACAAGTTACAGCGTGTTCAAAACACAGCTGCCAGGCTCATAACACGCACACATATGTATGTGCACTTAACACCAGTCCTGTAGCAGTTCTGGCTCCCCGTAAAAGACAGAGTTGTATTCAAACTTCATGTGTTTGTTTACAAGTCCATTAATGGGCTTGCTCCATTCTATCTCCGGGAACTAGCAAACCTTCACAAGCCTGGAAGGTCACTCAGATCATCTAGTCAGCAAAGCTTAGATGTTCCATGTGTTCATGTACGGGGACAGAACATTTAGCAGAGCGGGTGCTGTACTCTGGAATGGGTTACCTGAAAATGTCAGAAAATCGGAAAGTATCAACAGTTTCCGATCTTGTTTCAAAACCATCCTCTTCAAACGAGCATTCGACTAAGCGCACATGGGCAGGACTCTGGATATGTAGCGCTATACAAATGTCTAATTTGAATTTGAATTGAGTATGGTTTTATGCCGCTTTTAGCAATATTCCAGCAATATCAAGGCGGGGGACACCAGAAATGGGCTTCACATATTGTAGGGTACCCATGTAAACGTCGATTTTATGTGTATTAATACAAAGGATTGACGATTAATATTTATCATTTTAAACCCTCGTTGAAATGAGTATGATTTTACGCTAGCTTTTAGCAATAGTCGAGGAATATCACGCTTGGAGACACCGGCCATATATAGTGTATCCATTCAGGGAATCGAACCCAGGCGTTCGTGATGAGCGAACGCTTCAATCACATTGCTAGTCAAACGCCCAGAACAAGTTTCACTGCCAGTCAACTAGATTTTTAGGCAGCACAGCGGATCCTAGCAAGACTATGGGAAGCAACTCTGCAAGTATACACTGACAGCAAAACATAAATCCATCCCTAAAACGCCCAGGTTCACAGCAGAATTTCAGAAACCCATAGACCCAACTGATGAGACACAATTTAGATTTGACAAGAGACGTACAGATGTCTTGTCCTTTTACACTCAGTAGACAATAAAAAAACTGTTGACACTGTCGACTGGAATTTTATACTTTACTTTCTTTCCCTTTGACGATTTAACGAAAAGAAATGGAAACTTTCATCGATTCTTTTAAATAAAGGTAATTATTCAAGCGTCTTTGTAAATGGCATCTTAGGCATTTGATACTTTCACGGGCTGTCGTCAAGGAGATTTACTCTCTCCGGACTTGTTGTGGGTTTTTTTAACATTCGAGCCATAATGATGTGAAATAAAGGAAGTTTGTACTATTGAATACAGTTTGCTGATGATACTACTTTTACAGCAGACGGTTCGGAACCCCGCCAACACAGGGATTCAAGTGTTAACACTATTTGTTGTTTTTTCTGTAATGAAAGTAAATACTGATAAAAATGAGAACTATCTGTGAATACACAATGCCATTTAAGAAAGTGATCAAATATAACATATGTTCTTTTTGTAATTACACTTTCTCAGTAACGTACAGATTCTAGGACTTTTGTTAGGTTGAGAATTATCTGGATAATTTTAATTACTGGGGATAAAAAATTACTAAAAGTGACTGAATCAATTTGTAACGACTCTCTTGTGTTTCTCATGTCCATGTGGTCAGCATGCAACCTCGCGCCTTTGGGAAGAAACTATAGAGTAAAACCACGTATTATTCCTATACTTACTCCCGACCCCACCAGATACATTCAACTGAGTGAATGATTTTAGTTTGACGCCGTTTTTAGCAATTATTCACTAATGTCACGGCCAGGGACACCGGAAATGGGCTTCACACATTGTACCCATGTGGGGAATCGAACCTGGGTCTTCGGCGTGGCGAGCGAACGCTTTAACCACTGGGCTACCCCACCGTCCCGGTATGAAATAGAATAACAGTGATAAGACAATAACATTGGTGATGCTGATGCTGAGGAGAGGCGACAGTGGCTCTACTGTATTCGACCGACCTCCCGTCCTCGAATCGTGACGTTGACGCGCGTTATGACGACGTTAAACGCCGTGCGCGACGGTCATATCGCCTTTTTTCGTTTTTTTTAAAAATCGACGGATGACTGATACGAGCGAGAATCGACGTTTATTATTACGTTTACGGTTTCCGTAGTCGGCGATGGTGTCGACCGTTTTCCTGCCTCGTCGCGTAGCTGGCATCGACTGCGAGAGATTGACGTGCGTTGTGTCATTTTTTATCCAGCGGAGAAGAAATTATATATAAAGGGCACCTGTCTGTCGTCGTGGTTTCAGACCGAGCGGAAGGAACCTTTCGTGTCACGCATTTTTCGTACCAACGCCTGAGACTTGACTGGTAAGTACAATGTTATTTTTCGTTTGTTTGTTTGTTTAAAACTGTATTCTAATACACTTTATAGTACTATTTAAAAAATCCCCAAGTAACGAGAAAAGCGGGAAATGTTAAATAATCCAATCACGAACAATAAAAACTATATAAAGGAAACTTAAAAATGAGTATAAACAAACATTCTCTTTAAGTAAATATTCCTATATAAATATATCTATTTCAGAAAAAGAAGAGATGTCCAAAGCAACGAAAACAAGTATGGGTAAATGTGAAAGAATAATTGCAAGCGAGTTTTACCGGAGAAGACTGGACAAGTTTAGCAACAACAGAATAAAAGTAAGCGAACTCCCCAGAACGAACCGCTGAAAGTACTAAGCAGAGAAATGATCGCGATAAATGGAGAGACGGGAACTGTCCAGTTATACAAGTTTGTTGTCCAGAATGAAAGCGTTACATCGGGCAGCAGAATGGAAGTCCTTATCCCGGAGAGGTTTACCGACCAAGCTTCTGAGTGTACCCATATTGTTTATCAAGGTCAGTTTCGAACCAAGAAAGGGTACATGGTGAACGACCTGTTGTTCTACATAGTTGAAAAAGAAGAAGAAACCTGTTCAGAGCAGGTGGGGCTGCCTACCAACGACGAACAGTCATCGAGCTCCTCTATCATCAATGGTCAGACAAAAGAATGCTATATCGACGATGACAAAAAGTCAACAGAACCCGCTATCAACGATAAGGAGGACGATGAAGAAACAGGTATGTGCAGAGGACATGATATTGCAGAGGAAGCGGGTTCCATCAGATATATCTTCTGCACTGTCTGTGGCGAGCCGAATCATGACGCCCAGCATCCCATAGAGGAAGATGAACATAGGTATTGTGATACATGTGGCAAAGTCAC